TGTGCACATTTTATGAAGCAATAAAACCCCAATTACTAAATACATACCGCTGAACAGTTTACAGTAGGTATGCACTTTACTTATTATTTTTCCAATAGTACCAATTGCGAGAGACCTGAAAAAAGTTAATGCGTAAATAATAAGATTACTCGGTGCTTGGAAAGAATTATTAGCTCATTATTAACAATTGATTTTGAACTGACTTGTCTAATGTGTGTGGCGGTTAAAATTTTAGAAGCCCTATCAAAACCTAAAAATATTAACATCGTAAATAAAGTTTGTTGTACTTTTGTTGTTCGTCATTAACATCGTAAATAAAGTTGGTAGGGACTGTCTGCTGGAGCTTATTTGAACAATAAAAATATAACCGAAAATAAAAATTGATTTGCAAAATTGCAAATATTGCAATATATGCAATTCATTTGTTATATTTCCGAAATCTTCTGATTTTACCATTAATTAGAAAATCATAGGGAAATCAAATAGTAAAAAACCTTCATAAATCAAAAAAAATATTTTTCTGTTGTTTATTTTTGTTATTTACACTCTTTATACAGTCCCTTTAAAATAATTTAATCTAGGGTTGCCTATTTGCTTCATAGTATAATTTTCAATTAACATAGGCGACAATTAAAAGATATAATCATTTCCACTGGTTTCAATATTTCAAATAGTTTTTCAATGTAATGGTTGTGTCAAACTTCAAGCATGTAATGAAGATATGAAGGTAGATATGAAGGTAGAAAATCAAAAAAGATTTTATTGTCACATTAAATTAATTAAAATAAATATTTACTACGCCTATGGCTAGTTGCCAGGCGAGCGTGTCCTTGGATTAATTCTACTGTCTATAAAACATGCGTCGGTACCTACTTTATTCCTACCACCTGTTTTTCATTGATAAATCGCCGATCGATAGAATTTAATGTTGGACCCAAACAAATCGGGATTTATGAACGACTAGTTTGGTCTATTTATTAATGTCTTTGATTATTACATAAAACATGATTTTAAGGTAAATGTTTTTTTATGTAACCCAATAGAAAAAATTCCAATTTTGTTAAGTCTGGCGAACTAGGTGGCCAAGAAACGGGGCCCCCAATTCTCGATTTAAATAGTGTCTTCTGACATTTAAAGCAAAGTGTGCAGGAGCACCGACATGTAGCCACATATTTAGCATTAAATGAACAGGAATGTTTTGCAATAGTTCAGGTAAATCATAAAAATACATGTGTCCGTGAAAGAAATATGGCCTAAGTATAAAATCACCTCAAACATATACAGTCTACTGTCGCGCAGAATGAGGTTTTCTTCAAATGCACGTCGAACATTCTGAAGCATCCGTGAACATATTTGAAATCATTCTTTCATAATTCGGTACCGTTAATCTTCCAAAAATCTTGGTTCAGTGGTTTATCTTCGTTTTTAAGCCGCCCCGTAAAAAGAAGTCTAATGGACTTAAGACGGTAAAACGTGGGGGATGTTCCATATGTCCCCCCCTCCCAATCTATTGTTCTGGACAAGTCTGCCCCAAATACTGACAATTAGTGCATAATGTGGTGGTGCCCGTCTTGCTGGAATACTAACTGGATTTCTAAATAATGATCATCGTTTTCAATTAACTCTATATTACCTATATAATATCTCATATTATCTACTCTTTGAATATGCAATACTGTATAAAGGTTCTTGATGTAAAATATTCTTGACGTATAAACGGCCTCTTTGAAATGAAACAAGAAAATAAACATGTTTAATAAATAAATAAGTTGACATGCTCATATAGCACCTGCTAAATACAAATTACATAGATTTTCCTCTATTCTAATATTTCAAATGTCAGTACTTAATCATCACATTGATTCAAAACTAATACGGAAAACTTTATTTATGATTTAAATTAGTATTTCATTCAATCATATTTCTCAGTATATTCAATATACAATCGATTTAGTACAACATTCACCATAACCCTTTATATTAAATTATATTTAGTGTTCTAAATTTTCTTACCTATATGTGTGGTACTTTAGACTTTTTACGGCGGTTTAAAATTTATTTTTAGAGCCACATGGAAAACTAAGGGCCTCTGTAACATAGTGACCACTTATAAAACTATATGTCTAATCATAATATACCATTGAACCAGCATGTTTTTGAGGGTGTAGTCCCTGGTAATAAACAATATTCACTGGAAAGAATGTATGATCGTCATATTTGACAATAACCGATTGCGCACGGTTGCTTGAGGTGTAGCCCATATGGTTGGGAATTGTCATAAATTGATGTCCTTCCTCGATCGTATCTTCCACGAGCACATTTGCTATTATCATTACTTTGTCAAATCGTCTTTGATTCGCTTGGGGGTAGTGCGTGGCATAGTAGGAGTTTGTTGCGAATGATATTCCATGGCCAAACTTGTGTGCTTTTATCTGAAACCACAATTGGTTCACTACTGAATATATGACTACTACACATGATTTCAATTTGGTTTTTTGCAATATTCCTAACAAATGTTTGTCTTTTAATGGACTCACGTGTTTAATTACAGATCGATTAGAGTGCTTCGATTTTACAATAATGAACAAATTCTTTATCAAAACGTAATCAAAAACCATTACTTCTATTCTACAACACACTTCAACTTGTAAGAGAATTCCAATAAGCAAAAAAAAATGTAGAAAATTTTCTTTGATGTTTTGATAGCAATACACTATGCTTATCAAAATATACATAAAAAAGATTATGTTAATAAAATGTTATCAAATCTGTAAAAAATAGTTCTGCTTTCGTTTTTTTTGAAATTGTTAGTATTTTACTTTGACTTAAATCTCATGATCTGAAAAATAAGATCAATAAAATTAATTAAGAATTTTGGTAAAAATTTAGTTTCGGTGTATTGTTTCTAAGGTCTACTTTAGATTTTAAACACTTAACAAAAGTTTGAATAGGTATATTCAAATGAAAATAAAGAAATGACGTCAATCTTAAGGAATGCAGGCACTATTATTGTACCCAACTTATTTTTGCTACAATGACAATGTTTAGCAAACATTTTTTGAAATACAAAAAGAACCAACAATTAAGTACACTGTTGAAAAAGGTCAACACAACTAAATTTCTTTTCACGATATAATTATTACCAAAAATTGCGACGTTGTATGTATAAAGAAAATATAATGAAATTGAATGCCTATAGTTAGAAACCCATTAATATAATATATTATGTGCTTACCTTAGATCTGTCGAAGTTGTAGGTGCAAATTTCAGCCAAAAATTCATGTTTTGTTCCATGAAACACGAACCTCTCGGAGCATCCTTTGTCGTAAATTGTAGTATACTTTAGTTTTGCTAATTTGTAATGTAGGGAATTAAAAATATTATACACTGACGTGATTTTCGAAATGGAAAAGAAATGCTTGTTGCTCTTTTTAAATAATGAAGCTTTCGCGATAAATTCCCAAGATGTTTCAGACAGTACGTTTTCCTGGTATGGTTTTACTGGATATTCGTATATAGGTTGTTCGCCCAATACTAAGGCTAATTCACTTAAAACGTTTAGATTGGCTGTAACTTCCGCCTGAATCAGATTTGAGAGGGGGTTTACCTTTTGTTTTAGTGGTTTACAAACAGTTACTTGCGATTTTCTTCTCGCCTCTTCCCATCTCGCCAAATGAATTGCACGACTTCTTTCAAGTCGGAGTTCTGCTTCCCTTTGAATCCTGTATTCTCCTAGTATTCGTGTATTTTGGACTTGTGGATTGTCAACTGGTTTTGATGAGAAAATCCCCATTTTATATCAATATCGCTCTAACTGGCGTTTGAACACACAATTCCGACTACTGATATTAGTCAACTGATCAGTTAATTACCCAACAAGTAAGTAATTGAACGATCCGGATTTCACTAAAATAGCATTTATCTTATCTTCCTGTTGATACAGTACTCACTATCAATGTTTAAACTGAATATTATCCGCATTTGCCGCACCGGGGAAAAACCTATGATAGCTGCTTATAGCTCGCAAGAGAGGCAGGCTTATTTTATTACACTCGAGTTATGACGTCGCAATACCAATTGCAGGTTGCGCGTTCCATCAGCTTTTATTGAAATGTGATTTTTCCTTTTCAACACGTACACACCGGCAACATTAAGGATAATGGGCATAATTCAGCAAAAGTTTGAAATCACTTTTCTCGTGAACGTATCTGATTTTCACGGAATTGCAACTTAGTTTCTGACGAACAAATCTGAATTGGCGTTCATGATAGATGAACCTGTATAACCATTCGAAGATAAAGTGATGATTTTTCATACATTTTTTAGGCACCCTGTGCAGTGAACGACTGATATTTTAACGATGCTGCGATATTGGTGTTTAACATCATTTAGCTCAAAAACATTTCGAATCTCTCAAATTCTATTAGAACAAAAAATACTGATATGTAATGAAACTTGAAGTGGTGGAGTTACTTGGGAAGAAATGGGCCACTGGTCTCACTAGCTTATTTATTTACAGCACGAGCTTATATTGGATTAGATTAGACTATCCTAAGCTGTTTAGACTAATTAGCTATGGAATGTATCGTGAGCGTAAATATATTTTCGATTCTTGATATTCCAGCATATCAAGCATAATATAAGACATTACACAATATTTTTGAATAGACAAAGAGTAGAAGCTCGTACCATAAAGTAGGGTCAATTGCCCAGTGAATGAACAAATTAGACAAGTTTTAGGTTCACACTTTTATCACACTGGAACAATAACAGCACAAGGGTTAAAACTGCAATAAATCTTTAATTGGTTATTTAACTTAGAACTATGAAATAACAAGCTACTAAAAATAGATTTTGTTATTTCCGCGTTTAATTAAGAAGGTGTCCAAAAGCCTAGTGAATGAACCGCTAATGCCAATAAAAGAACAGACAAATTCCAGTTAATGAACAGTATTATATTTTCAGTGTAAACTAGTTATAGGCCACTGCTGGTCCTTAAATAAGTACCTACTATTCAATCAGTTTGTAAACCTCCAAATTTATATCGTAATTTGGCTCAAGTATTTTCTTTAAAACTTGTTTCTTCTTATACCAAATTTAATCATTTGTCTTAGGCCATATCTAATTATTTCTATTTTTTCTCTGCATGACACTAATTTCGTATTATTCGTTCTCTCTATCAATATCTTTTATTACTCCTAGATATTTTTTGTTACCGCAAAGGACTAGAACGTAATCTCCAAGCGTAAAACCTAAAAATGAGTGGATACATTTTTCTAAGTATTTTTTACACAGGTCTTCTATTTGGTGTTGTTGTACCCATTTTTGCTTCAACATTCGCAAGTTGTTCGTCTTTTGAAACCATTGGAATTTCTGTTATTGACTTTCGACTTTCCTTTTTCATTTGCTCCTTTTCTTTTACAGGTGTTCCACGTTTCCTCTTTCTACTTTGTTGCAAAATTGCAAACAAATAGCTCTAAGTTATAATGAGATTTATGTCCACCAATGAACAGGATTACTGGAGATTTAGTGCCCTCTTTAATAAGCCAAGATGTTGGCGATATATTCAAAAAATATTGCACTGGACATCCAACCAGAGTCAGATCGTCCAATTGACCATCCTTCTGGTACATAAAGAGCTAGTTTCTTGGGTATTCGTTGATAAGGGAAAACGATCATCGGAGGAACTACTGTTCCACTTCCTGCATAATAGCAAAGAACAGTAATTGATTATTTTTCATTCCCTGGTACAATTTCATAAAGGTTTCGAAAGTTTTTTCTTGCAGGAGCCAGAACTAGTCCCGATTGCGTTGATATTTTAACCCCTGTCTCATCGGCGTTGAATATGCGTAAAGAATCATTAATCATTTCCAACAAATTCTCGGTTTTTTAAAACTCTAGTAGGTCTTCAAACCATTTCCGAATTACCAGTTCGGTTACTGAAGCTCTACTTTTTGAAATTATTTCGGTATTTTGTTTAGCAACTTCGGTGTTTCTTCGGAGGAACAATTGTAGCCACTTCTCCCCCGGATTATCATCTACAAATTTATTTAATATTAATATGTTTAATTTAATATTTTTTGAACCGCGGATTGAACTTCTTCGGGATGCATGGAAAAACGTAGCTTGGCTTTGGCCAGAATCCAGTTAACAAGTTTTTGTTCCTCTCCGGTAGTTAATGTGGTTGGAGGGATCATTTTTCTGTCGATAGGGACCTTTTTCTTTAATATATATATAAATAATCTTTATTTCCCACAGAAAAAGGCTATCGACCCAATCGGTCTTTCTGTCCTTTTCTTTAATTTATTGTGTAAAGTTGACTTTGGGATTCCATATTGTAAATGTGCTTTATTTAAACTTATTTGTCCAGCATTAGTTAAACTTAACGCAGTGGATAAATCCTTTTCTGTGTATTTAAAGCGTACGTAGTTCGAACTCATCTAGAAATTTATTGCGTTCCAGTGAAAAAACTCGTGAATGAACGGTGTTCGTTTACTGGCTGGTGGGTGACCACATCAGAATTTAGCGAATATAGCTAACTTGTACTACTGTAAGATACTTTTAAGGTTGATTTTGCATGTTTTTAAATTTAAGCAAAAAATCCAGTGAATGAACGCCAACGTTCGTTCATTGGATTGATGATGAAAACGTTAGCCAGTAGCACTTTAGTTAGCAACACCTTAGACTTTATGCAAAATATGGAGATTTGAAGGAAAAAGTATTAAGAATGTTTAAATGCATATCTTAACATGCATAAAATATCAATTTTATACAACTGATGTCAACACTTTTTAAGATAAAATACTTTTAACAGGCAGGCTTTTTCACCAAATGCTAAATAAGAATGGCGTCTTTTACGTCAGGTGTCGACAGTGCTGTCTTCTACTTGTTATGATTATACTATGTTATACTTCTACTTGTTTGTCTGATACAGACAAAAGAAACGTTTTTTTAAACAAGTCAATGAATGAACTGTTTAGGGGACATGCGCATGAAATTTTAGAAAGAAATAACTGTACTCCCAAATAATATATTCTTATTTTTCATTTTAGTGTTGAGCGGTGTTCATTCACTGGGTACTCTTCATTTATTTACATTAAAAACATAAAAAAAATTATATACATTAAAAAACTATAGAAACTTTAAAACGACGTAAAACATTCAAATAACTTTTTCGAACGCGTTTTAAGACACTAATAAGGTATCTATACAGGGTGAATCAGCGAAGCGACACCTCCTCTGAGATCGTACAGAAATGCTGACTGAAGGAAAAGTAGCCACCACACTTATATGACCCCCGAATTATAAAAATTATGAAAAATAAATCAAAATTTAATTTAAGCATTGTTGCCGTATATGTGTATCCAAGCCGGTGGCTCAAAATGAAAAATTATATTATGAACTCGTATTTATTTTGCTCAAAGAATCTGCAGTTAACGGTGTGCACTACTGATTTGCAACTCCCTGTTTGAACATATGACCACAGACGCTTCGTTCCCCACTTCCTTAAATTAAAAGAATAATTGTGTTTTTCAATATAGTTATTGAAGTTATTGAAGTAATTATCTGAACTTTGGAAGGTAGGCTTAGAAGTCTGAATTTGCTGTTGAATTTCAGAAAAAAATTGTCTCCTGTTTTTGTTGCGCATTCGCCATTTTTGTAGTGATGTAATTTTGCAGCTATTAAATCGGTGCGTAAAGCTTGTTGGTGTGTGTAAGATTTGAGGTCAATATACAGAAACTGCTACAGTTGGAACTTGGAACGGAAAACAACATTCAATTTCTGACTTGATACCCTAGTTCATATTTGGACACCCTATATTCGGGAAATGAGATATATGTTTAGATTAACTGTTTCTACTTATTTTTGCTTGTAGTTCTAATGCTTTCGTCATTTTTTCCGATTAAAAAATCGCAGATAAAAAACCTACGAGAATTGCAAACAACATTGATGGTTGGTCACAATTAATAATTGAATGTTTTAATTTTCAGTCCGAAACTGTGCCCATGGATACTTCGCGAACTTCAATGATTCAATTTGCATCTTTAATAGCAGAAACTTTCAAGGATTCTACTAAGAAGATGATCTGCAACCGCATGTTGTTGAGAACGACTGATTGCATGAACACGAGCGTTTTAGATTGTGCTGTAACATTTTCGTGTGATAAAAATGTGTGCGTTTATGGTGTAAAGGTCGGTCTGGATTGAAATTGTTGACATACTGTGAACGAAAACTAATCAATCTCAAAATTCTGCAGGTTCCTGCTCAAATTCCCACAGCAGATGAGAGATACGATCCATTCAGCATGGTGTATGGAGAACTGCTTTATGCTCATTTGCTTGATGCTGAGGGCAGTCGACTTACTTACACCCACTTTACGAGTAGGGTGCAATATCACTCTCTTGTTGAGATATCATTCAATCGACCGATATACATCCAAAAGAATAAGGTAAATATTGTAATGTATATACAGGGTGATTCGAAATTGGCATCATTCCTCTGGAGGTGCTATCTGGGGGTGTTTTGGGAGTACAGGGATAATAGTAAAAAAAATGCATTTTCCCATAACCAAACGGCAAATTCGCTATTGGCGAACATTTTGTGAAAAGAGCTTCAAAATAAGTCACAGTTTGACAAACGCTTGTTAATATTGACAAAAGCTATCTACCTATAACCATCTGTTAATGGCAAAAAACATCATTGCCGCTTGAAAAGTACTTTTTTAATATAAAAATGTTTTGTAATTTGAAGCAGATCGTAATTTTTCTTTTCGAAGGGTTAAGTATTCAAATAGACTTCCAATCAAAGGTGGGACCATTTAAAAATAATACTTATATAATAATAAAGTTAAAATTCGATCTTCAACTGTTAATATCTTCTAGACATTTTCTAAATTTTTCTCTGACTCTCCGAGTGAACCTCTATAACCCCTTAAAAGGAATGACGCCAATTTTGAATCACCCTGTTTAACAACTTGTTCAACGAACATTCTGTGTTTTTAGAACGATAAATTAGGTAACATCATTTTACAACATTGAAGAGGCAGTTTTAACTTTCCTTTATTAATGCAACAATAATTTTTTTAAACTTTCTAGTGGAACGTATTTTTGGCAAAGGTTGAAAAGTAATCTTTCTGTTAATCAATGAATCTTGTTCCCAACTATATTCAATGCGTTTCTGCAAAGAAAGGGCTGCATTGGAGATCACCCTCACATACAGGGTGTCCCGTAAGCACATGATCAAAATGGCCCTGAGACATTTTTTGCCTCAAATGTGACCTAACTTTTCTCAAAACGAAATAGCCGGCTCCTCTGCGATTGAGTCAAAGTTTTTTCAAAAAAATATTCTTTTAGAAATATATGAAGGGAGTAATTTTTGAGTCTTGGTACAAAAACTACTGGCACTTTTTATTTGGTGGCTGGAATCAACCAATTTTTTTCTGAGTTGATCACTATTCTTTTGTGAACATTTTATACTCTTTGTAAAATCTTGCACCATTGTTCAAATAATGATTTCTGTGTCTTTACTATTTAACAATTTCACACATTAACTGCAAACGTCGTAGTAAGCGATAATGTTCTTGTATAATCAATTTATTGTCAAGATTTTTATAAGCGTTTTCGTCCGAATTACGTTCATCAGAAATCTCAGGAAAAGAATAAACGAGATTAGAAAATATGACCTTAACGTAGGAGCAACATCAAGTTTCTTGCTGATATTGCAAAGATATTTTCATCTGAGCGCTTTCCCGATATTATAAAACGTAATTTAAGTTTTGTTCATGTAAAATGTTAATGAATGTCTAGTCAGGACAGAAGACAAAAATGTCAAAGGTGTATTAGTGCATCAACTGAAGAAAATCGGTTGATTCCGGCTTCCAAATAAAAAGTCATCGTAGTTTTTGTACCAAGACACTCAAAAATTTTTCACTTGCCCAGAGCGGATGAACTCGGTTGCGTCATCAAAACATGATTCTTATATAGGAACAAATTTACAGCGAGGTTCATTAAAATCCATAGTACCACTCACCCAATATTTCAAAAAAACATAATTTTTTGAAGAAACTTAACCATCAATAGTGGAGGATCCGGACAGTTTTTCTTAACAAAAGTTAGTGTCATATAATCTTCAATTGAGCAAAAGAATGTGCCGTTTGGATCATGTACTTACGTGACGCCCTGTATCACGGCATATAAAACCATCACTTGCGCGAAAAACAGACAAATCAGGATAGATATTACAATATGTTCACGATACTGCACTTATTGTACATGAAAGAAATACAGAGACTGAATGCACTCAAGCGCCTTAGCCACTAACGAACAAGACAATCAAACGGTTCTATAAATGGAGATTCACACCAAATCTAACAAAAGCATTGAGATTTCGAAAATCTTACAAAAAATAATTCTTCAATTTAATAGTCTCCACTATTTTCAAATATATATATAAATATTTGAGAAAATGTTTGATTTCCGTCATTTTTCTAGATGTATAAAGTAGGAGTGGTGTTGAACAAAACAGGCTGTTATCCAATTGGATCATACCCGTATCAATCAACTTGCAACGGCGTTACGTTCACTTTCACACAAGGTCAAGGTGGAGATTCTGTGCGAGATGGGTTAATTCGGTCAATAATTTTCGCATTTCCACCATCAAGTAATCCCAACGCAAACCCAGAAATTCCTGGTGATCATAATATTCAACCAAGTTTAATGTAATTATTTATTGTAATGTTCCATAATGTGTGTTATTATATTGGTTGACTCTATTTGGCATTCGCCAGAGGTTTCGTGGCGTATTGTTATTTTGTATGCTAATAAAGTCATTGAGGATGTATTTGAAGTTATTGTTTAATTAATGGTTTTACTGAATAATATAACGTGATTTACAGCACGATTTTTTCACATTTTTTGTTTTTTGCAAGGTGTACATTTGCAATATCCATGATAAGAATGCCGAATCTATAGGGCCACCGAAACCGTAAGAGATACGAAGTCGGTTAAATTAAGAAAAAGTTGCGCAATCAAGGGGCCCTATACATGGCATTTATAAAAAACAAGTGTTTTTATTCGAATGAATCTAAAACTGCAATTTTTCGATCAGAAGCGATGATCATAAAGAAGCACTTTTCTTTACTGTTCATTTGTTTTACTTTTACGCACGAACTTTTACGCACATGTGCGCAAAAGTACATGTGACAAATTGAACGTGTCACTGTCATTATATTTTTTAAAGTATTTTCGTTAAAATTTAACCGACATGATTTTTCAATTAATTACGTAGGTTTGTCGACAACTATTGATCATAATTTAAAGTTTACTTGCAATTTGTAAATTATATCTTTGTTACAAGTTCAGTCTTAAAGTCGTTCAAATGGTCTATTTTTCTGCGCTCGCCGATGTTGCCACAAGCAAAAGACGTTTTTTTTTAATAGAGCAAATGTCATAAAATATGCATCTTATACAAACACCATACCGTGAAAGCAGCACTTGGATTTTCAACACATTGTTTCACTTGTATATGTTTACAAAAGTACTCTTTTGAAAAATTACAAACGTCAACACGTGACAATTTCATAAATGTCACTGATATCAGATTTTAAATATGAAGTTGATGCCTTTTATTTTTAGCTATTCTTATTTATTATAACTTATGATTCCTGTTATGTCTTTCATTCGAAATAAAAATATTGTTAATTAATAAAGTTATTTTTTATTTTTAAGTTAAGATGAGCTATTTGAGATCATATCAAAGAACAAAAAATAATTTCTCATGACATCTTGTAGAGGGTATCTATGACAACATTTCGTGTTCAGAGATTTTGAAACAATCATCAACTTTTGTTTTCATATGAACCGATAGAAAGTACATCACGTATTAGATAACTCTTTTCATAGGGAATTCAATAATGTACGGACATTATGATTTGTTCCGGTTCTTCCGTCAAAAAATAAGTAAAAAAAAAATTATACCTATTTTTATTAGTGAACGATGACAAATCTTGTAGAGCGGAGCCATATTGTAGATGGCAAAGGTGTCATGCCATTTTTTTGTTTTTTGATCAATAACTAATATTAAATGTATAAAAACGATAATCCGAAAATTACTTTTTTCTCAATATATCAAAAATTAAAAGAAACACTTATGTTTTGAAAACTGATTGCGCAACATTTTCTTAGTTCAAGCGATTTCGTATGTCTTACTGTCTTACGGTTTTGGAGATCCCCATGCAATGCATAATTATCTTGGATACCCTGTATATCCATAAACTTGAGATTTTTGTATAGCGATTAGATAATGTCTTAATACTAGAGCTTTGTTAGGTTTATGATTGGGTTTATGATAATAAGCAAACATCCCTGATTCTGATAAGGGTAACAAGGGTTGAACATTTTTGCATAAAAATTATGTAATCAAACTGGAGATAATGTTTTCTACGGTATTGTTAAAATTATATCAATTCATAAACATTCGTAAAGGCGTACCTGCTGAACACAAGTTAATAAAATATTTTTTTTATTAAGATCTCATACTTTTTTCTATTTTAAATTTCCATAATAACGCACGAGCATGAGATAATAAAACACATGTATTTTCTACAACTTTCAATTCTTTCTAGAATAGTTTATTATGCAATTAACTTATCTCGTATGACGTCACCTCGCTGTTGTGCGATTTGCAATATTTTTGCCTGGTTAGCCGCAATCTGGCATTGCTGTAAGCATTTATGTTAACTCAGTTTTTAAACGAAACGTCTAGGTTTGTCTCACTCTCACTTATCTGGACTGACAAAGTTGGTCCTCATTCCGAAGTTTCTTGACCTTGGCTGTCTTGAGCGGTAGTTCACATGCCTTATTACTTCCAATCTGTTGAGCGGAGCTATCGATCATTTTACTCCTTATTAGCAACAGCTGCTTTTGACAGTTAGGACAATTGTGCAATTGTTTTTTTCGTTGTATAAAGTTTATATTTTTAATACTATTTTACGATTTTGTCAACTATTAACGCCGCGATAAAGATGTCTAAGAAACCATCGAAAACAGTAAGCAAAAAGCAAGAGTCGAAACAGGTGAAGCAAGAAGTGGACAAACATGATTCGGATACCGGTAAGTGCTCTATTCAATTTTTATTTCATAAGTAGGTATATTATAAACATGGTTTTTCAAAATGTTGCTATTTGTGTGTTTTATCGAACACCGGTACAGTTTTTTGCAATAAATGCATTTTGCTTTGATTAAATAATACGGAACTGATCGGTGTGTACCTATGTTTATAAACATCTTTAGATATCTATAATACCAGAACATTCCAATTAGTCATGGCATTCCTCATGGTTGAATGCCTCAATTGTTTGCCGAATTAATTGTTTGCAGACCAGTCAATTATCGCTGAACTACTCAACGATTTTTCATAACTTCTAGTCAAGATAGCGACAGCAAATTCACAGCATCTACATTGTTATATAGGTACAACTGTGTTGCGTATTGTACGCGCAGTATTTCAAAATAATTCGGCTCTTGATGATAATGCGTCCAGGTTTTGCTTAATTTTAAGCTTTTATTTTCAACGTTTCAATCATCTAGCTAATAACATGCTATAAATCTCAAAATACTTCTAGTTCAAAAGCCAATGCTTATGGATCATGGGTTACACTCCTAATCTGTTGCTTTTATCAGTATCGTTCTATTTACTTAATTAATAGTAATTTGTCCTGGGAAATGGGAATTTATTAATGGCGAATGCGCTGCTATCATTTTTACAAGTGCAGTCCTATTTTATTCACTGCTCACTTTCCGTTTTTTTCACCCTCGCTTCTAAAGCACCATTTATTGCAATTATTTCTTGTATTTTAATGTTTAAACGTTTAAAAAAGGGGCAAGACTTGACTTCAACTAGCAGCTGTTACCCCATTTTGATACTATACGACTTTTTTACATAGAAAAATTGACTGAAATTTTGGGTCCGTCATGCTTTTAAGGCAACATCACCCTTTTTCGTTACACCTACCTCATAAACCCAGCATTCATAGGTAGTTTGATACTGAGCCCATGGAATGCTAGTTCAAATAATATTCCATACTAGGTATTAGGCAGCTGAAAGGAGAATAAGTAGTCTCCAGGGCAAGATAACAAAAACCGAAACAAACATAATCTTAGCAAATCCTTTATATTATATAAAGGCTAATATAATTGATGTTTAATCGCAAAAAAAGATTCTGATTTATCCACCTATCAATCCAAGTAAATACTTATATCAAAGTGGTCTTCACAAAAATAAAGTGTCGAGTTCAAGCGTACATCTGCTGGGTTTCCCCTTGCGAGCGTTAGACATTTATTTATTCTCTGACTTGGAACGCAAACAAACAATTTATTAGGTGCTGTTTATTGACGTGTGTCGGTGTTTTTGCACAGAGGAACCGCACGCGCAACTTGTAACATTTGGACAGTTAATTTCTAACACCCAAAATGTAAAATGTTTTGCAAACTTCCTTCTTTGAGCATATAATAGGTAGGCATACTGCAAAATTTACGAATGCTAGACGTTACAAGCGGGCGCCATAACAGTTACAAGCGTTTTTGCGCTAATTCAAATAATTCAAAATAGATAGATAAAAATGCTATAATTAGCGTCAACATTTAATTTATTGCGCAAATAATATATTTTTTGGAAATAGCAGACGTGTGACCTACATTATAGAATTGTGTTTCAAAATTTGTAATCCTGCCTATTACTTTTATGAAGCGTTCAATTGCTTGTTCTAACATTAGAAAGAAATAGCGCATATGAAAACCGACTAAGCATGATGAAGACATGCACATGCGACTTAACTAAATGGTATTGTTGAACTAGGGTGGTTTTCTTCCAGCCTTTTTGTAAATATCCAGTGTGTCGGGGTTAAGAACTTATCTGAAAAATCTTTATTTTTTGATCGATTTCAGTGATTCTTTTTTTAATAGTTAGATATTCAAACTGTATTCGATTAGTGACTACTCTCAATTTACACCTGGAATTCAATATCAAATTTACAAAAATACCACTACGGCAGTTTTTAAGGGGGAGCTGTCGACCGGGCGGACTGGCCAAGCGATGCGAGCGAGTCCAAGCGAGTGTGCAAAGAGAAAGCGATTTTTTAGCGCTCTCCGTTGTGGTTCTGGGTTAAACAGTTAAAGCTTGACTTGGGAAAGTTAAACGTCGTATTTTCCATGGATTTTCTAACACATGCTGTTATTGGAGACACCGGTAATTAGAAGAGTGAAAAAAGTGACATGAGATTAATTTAGCTCTCCGTACCTGACAAAATCCTGGAAACTCCCAGAAATTTCCTATTGCAGTGAGTTTACCCTCACTTAAAACAGCGGATCTTTGCTTTGGAGTTATATCATGGGTCGGATTCAGGGATTTTTGGTTTACCCTAGGCGAATTTTTCAAAAATAGGTGTCCAAAGACCAATCGCTTCGATTTAGTACCCGAAAAAATCCTGGAAACTCCCTGAAATTTCCTATTAAAGTGCGTTTTCCGCACTTAAAGTAGCACAGTTTCTCTTTCGAGTGACATATGAGCCGGATTGTGGGATTGTTGACTTTTTATTTTTAAATTTTTGAAAAATTCGTGTTTTCCAACGGGCAATCGCCTCGACTAGTACCTGAAAAAATCCTGGAAACTATACAAAAGTGAGTTTTTCAAAAACAGTAGCAGATAAGCAAAAACACACAGATTTTGATTGTTCTGCCATACGGGAAGTGTATAAAATGAAAATAAATATATTTTATTAACCATCGCTCAAACCATGAAGTACCTGCTCCAACCGATTGTCCATGCTAAAACTACAAAATTTTGTTACT